ATCGACGATTTATTTCGTTACTAGACAAAAAGACCGTATGTTTTGACATACGGCGTAAAATTGGGCGGGAACGCGACGCGCCATAATTTTCTAACCATAAACACCGTATGTAACGAATCTTTATCTACATAGGGTATTTATGTTTAGGAAATTAAGATATTTTGAGCGACATACGTAAAAAATTGACACATCCGGTTTTTATGTTATGTAATTAGCCACCAATTTTTTTAAACGTTCAAATGAACTAATTTCAAAGTGTTTTTATCCGTTTTTACTAATCATGAAAAAAAATTGCAAACAAATATATGATAGCTCTTAGTGTAAAAAATTCAAAAACATCAAAATCTTAATTTTGATAAAAATGCTACATACGGTGTTTTTCCATTGGACTAAGAATATTACTGGCACTAATAAATCAAAACAGTATGTGCGCTGTCCAACTTGATGTTAAGAATGCATTTTTGCATGGAACATTAGAAGAAGAGATATATATGTTGCAGCCAGAAGGTTATGAAACAAAGAATTCAAATCTTGTTTGTCGTTTAAACAAATCGTTATATGGTTTGAAACAAGCACCTCGTGCATGGAATAATCGTTTTAATACATTTATGAGAAAAATTGGTTTTAAAAGATCTGAGTATGATATGTGTTTGTACATGAAAGTTACAGAAAAATTTAAACTTTATCTACTCCTGTATGTTGACGATATTATTTTGACTGGTAATAATGAACATGAGGTAAATTCTGTCAGGAAATCGTTACATTTAGAATTTGACATGACTGACATGGGAAAATTGAAGAGGTTTCTTGGTATAAAGATTGATATAACATCCGAAGGTATGTTTTTGAGCCAGAAAATTTATATCGAAAATTTGTTAAAACAAAACGTTTCGGAATGGAATTATGTAATCCGACCAGAACACCTATGATGACAAGTAATGTAGAACTGGCAGAACCTAAAAATAATGAAAATATTACAGATAAGAAGCCATACAGAGAATTAGTTGGCTGTTTAAGCTATATTATGTTAAATACAAGACCTGACATTTGTGCAGCAGTTAATTTCTTTAGTCGATTTCAGAATAGTGCAACTGAATGTCACTGGAATGGACTCAAGAGAATTTTACGTTATTTACGTGGTACTGCAGAATTTGGTCTATTTTATAAGAAAACTGGTGAGCCTTTAGTTGGTTATGCTGATTCGGATTGGGCCAATGCATCAGATAGAAAATCAGTGACTGGTTACCTATTCAAGCTTTATGGTTCCACTATATGCTGGGCAACTAAGATCTCACTGTCATCAACTGAAGCGGAGTATGTTGCACTTGCTACGGCTGCATCAGAGTGTGTTTGGCTAGTGAATCTACTCAAAGAACTTCAAAATGAAACTTTTAGTGTTGTGATTTACGAGGACAATCAGTCATGTATACACTTGGTATATAAAACTGATCATCAGAGACTAAAACACATTGACGTTAAATACAACTTTATAAGAGATTTAGTTTTATGTGGAGACATTGAAGTGAAGTACATTTCTACAAAAGAACAAATTGCAGACTGTCTAACAAAGGCGTTAGCTGGTGAACAATTTGAAAAATTGAGAAGCCTTATGGGAATTTGTATTTTGTAATGTGATGTTCTGACAACGTTTAAAAACCACAAATTGAGGGGGGGTGTTGTAAAGTGTAACAAACCAGATTTGTGTTTTTAAGGTTGTCGGCACTGTTAGATTAAAGTTCTGTTAAGTTCTGTATTCAGTGCAGTTCAATGGTTAAGTTTTTCTACAAGTTAAAACAAGAGAGTTTTGTTGTTGTTTATAGTCAGAGTAGTCTGACTTCAACTGAAAGTTAAAAAGAATTATTGCAACATTTGTATTTATTCCTTTATATAAAAAGAGGGAAATAAACATTTATTTCTTACACGAACTCTTATTTCTGCTGCGACAACAATATGGTCAATATTAACCAAAATCAGTTACAGATCCGTGGTCGGATACGACCAACATCCCAAAATGGGATTCACAGAATTTATTGGGAAGATCTACTTCAAGACCCTTGTGGATCCAATTTGGAGGGTGTTCCATTGTTAACCCGAGTTCCCTACAGCTTTTACATTTTTTGAAGCTCTCTTAACTACATTAATTTATAGTAAATTAATAAATCTCACAATATTTATAAGATTCAAAATTGTGTTAAAAATTTTCAGATAAAGTTTTACCAGGTATATGCTCTGTAACAAAAGCCAAATATAAATAATTTATGGGGCGGTTTTCAGAAAGATTGGGGCCCAATAGTTCTATTAGGCCCTTCTAAGAAATACCCATTGAAGGACGAGGGTTCCCGAACAGATTTTCCGAGTCGTTGTAAACGTCGCCTTGAAAGATTTTTGTCCCAAAAATTAATAAAATTCCAAAATTCAACCGTCGCTACCGTTGACAAAGGATATCATAGAATTTAGCAATGATTTGAACAGGTAGACTTAGACCGTTGGGGCAATGTATTAGACATCTGGTATCGATTAATCGGCGATGGTTTAGCCCATGGTAAGGGGAAAAATCCATATTTCTAATAACGCACGAAACACGTTCGAAAGACGCAGGAATTCCAAGATATTTAAATAAATTGTTAAGATGTAAGGAAAATAATAATAGATCAAGATGGTTTTTAGGGAGATTTTCCAAGCTATAAAAAAATATTAAACGAGGCTAACTAATCCGCTCCGTGTTGCTATACGGAGTCGCGAGAGGAAGGTGTAGGGCTACTCGTGAGTTCAGTTAAGCTTCAAAATTATTCATACCATTGTAAATTTAGTCAATTAGGTAATTATTAACGTGGTAGTAAAGCATCCCGATATTCAGGGGTCGCAGTTGACCAGCAAGACGAAAATAACTTCTGAGCCGAAATGGACGGGTAGAAATCCAGAGAGGTCTCTGAAAAAGGCAGTTCCTCTTTTAGTTCCACACTGGGCAGTATACTTAATTTTAGAGAGGTTAATTTAATAATGGATATAGTCTTTCCAAATTTTCCTATGAATCTCGCGTTCCCTGAATCTCGGTTTACGTGTAGCGAGTAAATTAACCATTTGTTGTTCAAATGCATTAGGTTATCTTTATTTTATTTCTTTTGTTTTTATTGTTATCAAAAACCTTCCTTGAAAGTTATGATGTTTTCTTGTTCTTCCAACTTAAGTGGTAGGTAGGTACCCTTATACAATCAGCCGCTGTATTACAATCTATGTAAGCAGGAGAAGGTAAGTGTCTAAAATTCATTCTCTGAACGTACAATATTTCCATTTCCCACGTATCAATAAGAGTGTAGATGACAATTATAAACTCCCTTTCGAGAAGTAAACTCTTTTGTAAGTTAATATCGCTATGATACTGGTCATAACGGTAGATAGATAAATAAATAACCCCTCCGATTACAGCTCACATAGCTCCAGTAGTGTCCAGGAGTGTCTAAGCCTGCGACAAAGATTCTGAGGCTTTTAAAGCTTCCAAACCAGGTACTTAAGCTTCTTAAGCTTCAACTCCTGGTTCATACCTCATATCATATAAACAGTAATAGTCAGGCAGTCATAAAAGACAATGATTAAAAGACATGAGAATATCAAACTCGTGATGCCAATAAACTAAAATGCAACATGCAACAAAGGAAAGTGTAGTTGAATGCCTCACAAAAACAATAACATCTCAAAAGTGTACAAATGCGTTTTAGGTATAAACAGTAGAGTGTGGACCATTATTGCAAGGCCAAACATCTCGTCATCAACCCAAAAATGAGAAAAAAATTGTTCTTATTTTGGTAGATAAACGTGTAGAATATGGTACCCAAACGGTTTTTTCGAAATTTTCGAAATTAATGTGAATTTATATATGAGCTATCGTATCATTATGACTGTCTTTTTAGGTATTTATTAAATTTCTAGAATGTTTTTCTTTCATTGCAAAATAAGTGTACCTAAATGATACTTAAATGACGGTATTAGCAACTGATTTAAGTGACTGTGGATGGAGATATTTTTCTGTAGTCAATTCTATGGTTTCTATATACGCGCGGTAAACACGGGTTTTATTTGTACAGCAACAACTGTGTGTTTAAACCTGTTTTTCTCGAAACGAACGATATCGACTTTGTTAAATTTAAAGTAAATTGGATTCTTGGGAGGATATACTAGCAAAATAGGGAAAAAATATTTTTCATATTTTTAAAACATCTCCGAGATAAAAAAAAAATGAAAAACCGAGACTAGAATTAGTATGAATGTCATTTTATTCCGATTTCTTATTGATTTTATTACAGACACATATTTAAGAAAAAAAATTTTGATTTTTGATTTCAGATCAACTCTGCAGACTCCAAAACAGCCTCTATTTTGAATGTGATCAAGGCGCATGACATATAACTACTCAACATGACAGTATTTTGTACCCACAATTTTTTTTTCACTTAAATACTTAATAAATATGTAGCAAAAAATCCGTAACATTGTATCTGTATCCTTTTTGAAAAAAAAATCCTGTACATTGTCTTATTTTTTTATTAACTAGATGTAAATACCTACTTAAGTGAAAATGTACTTTTCACATGAAACTTCACTCGCATTAATTATTTGCAGTGCATATAGCTGTATAAAAGCGGTATGAAAAAGTACACCACACTGTAGACTCGATCAACTATATCTACCGTATTAATTTTCATATTTTATGTCAAAATTCGCAATTCCCATAAAACGGTATTCTTATTGCTGAAAATTTATTAGAGTAACGAAACACTTCTCTCGGTGTAAACAAGCACGGAATGCATTAGCATTTATGAGTGAGTCTAGAACGTCTAGAGCCAAGAATTATAAAGAAAATTCCCGTTTCCATGGTTCGCTTAATCGATAGCAGGGATTGGTGTGGCTCGCATTTTGACGTTTGTCAGTTGCCGCAACTGTATCGCCCCATCTGAGGTTCGGTATCGCGCGACAACGTCTGGCTGATCTCCCAGCCCCGGAAGATGGATTGCCCGGATCCGGAGGGTCGGCCCGTCGAGGTCCTGAAAACCTCAGACTTTTACCGAACTTGCCAGCTGCCGAAAAGATTTGAATATCCCTCATGGTTTTACGGCTACGGCATCCAGAAGAGGCCGCCCGATCATCCCTTCTACAGGACCACTTCAAGCGATTACGGGAGGTAAATAAGTCAAAATAGAACAGGGACGGGCTTAGGGAGGTGCTGTTGCAAATAGCAAGTATTAGTTATTTTAGAGCTTGAATCATAATGATTAAGGTTAAGTAAATTTTTCCTTGCAATTTCTAAACTGTGGCTGCACATGTCGACTTTTTCTAACTCAGCTTTTTTTTGTACCAATTTTATTACAAAAAATTATTATTCCTCGCAGTTAACAACATCAGTCTAAAAAAATTGTATCAGTTTTTAGATTCATTATTCACTATCTAAACAGAAATTAGCAAGTTCCAATATTTGTTAAGTTTACTAATTATTATAATAATCTGCACATTGGTATTGACGTATTTTCTTTAACCGAAGAGCATATTAGAAAACTTTTTTTTAGTTTTGCAATTTACATTAGTTCCATTGAAAACATCACTTTGTGTTTTTAACTTTTTACTTTCTATTATAATTTTTTTAATCTTCTTATTCAGATACTGGGCTTTGGTTGTCCGTTGATGTATCAAATAAATAAATAAATAAATAAACACGAAATGACGAAAATGACAATAAGACTTTTAAAAGCTCTATAAATATCAACAATTTGTTTTCTCAGTTCGGAACAAAATGATAATTCGTCGTCTCTTCCCCTGAACTTTGCTAGCAGTTGTTGAAAATAAAATATTTTACCATTTCTTATTTCTTTGACGACTTCGGAATATTTATTACCTGTTCTTTGTGAAGTCGCCCTATATCACTCCATAAATAGACTCTATTCGAAGCTCCTGACCGTTATTCATTAATTTCAGGTACCCCCCTACAATTCACAGCGTCCCGACGTCCTTCTTCCCGACTGATCAGGAATTCAGCAAGGCCTTGGCCAAGACGGGAATGTATAGGAATTATTCCTTGAATACCGGTCTGGATGTATTGAGATAAAGACGATGCTGCACTCATTTTGCAAATATGTACATATATAGAAACAAATGCTTGTATATCAAATATGTGAGTACGTATTTTTGTCAGAAGTGTTATTTGTTTCTCAAATTTATAAATTCGTATGACGAAATATTTTAGGTGCAATAATGGTTTTAAAAATTCTACAAATGTGATTTTTTATGAATTTATTAAAATTGAATAAACATTTTATTATTATTTATTATTATTGTTTTGATGAACTTCCATCATCTTATCGCAATGTTCAACAGTTTAAAATAGTCTATAATAATAATAATAATTTATTGATGTCAGAACATAAGATAAATGTTTACATAAGTCACAAAAGAAATATGACACCAAAAGTATCAGTAATTAAAAATAGGTTAAAACTAAAGCACAGATATGTGAATAAATCTTAAAAAACAAATACTACAAATAAATAATATAGATACAAAAAAGGCACTATTACAAAATAGATAAAGAAATATATCACACATCACAGACATTACATGGTATTCCTAGGGGACTAACAAGAGCAACAAAATCATCATTAAAATAACCATCAAATGAGTAAAAAGCCTTATAATAAGTTCCTTATTCTCATTTTATAGTGAGCATTACACAACGACCTAATTGCTTCATGTAGCATATTAAAAAAGCGCACGCAATAGTAATTAGAACCGACTCTAGTTCTACTTAGTCTAAGAGGAACAGGGTTTATATTGTACATGTTTCTAGTAGGATAATCGTGGTTTATAAAATGTTGACGAAACATATGGATATGTTCCTTAATGTACAGGGTGGGCAAATAAGCGAGGTAAGCGGCTGTATCTCAGAAACTAGTGATCGTAGAGAGCTACGGTAAAAAATTGTATAGGTAAAGTGGGCAAGGGAAAATGCTGGAAATTATTTTCAAGTTTCCAAGATGGCCGCCAGTGGGCGTTTCCACCATATTGAATTACATAAAGTTACGTTTCTCACGATTTTCCCCAATGAATGTAACAAAAAAGTATTTGCGTTTTAATGTTAACTTAAAGTCGAACATTTTTTGTAAAAACAATTTTTCTCTATCTTTCGAAATAAAGTGGTGGGGGGTATTTGAATGTTGTTTGAAATAAATGCCTGTAACTTCGAAACGGCTTAATGGATTTGGATAAATTTGGTATCATTGAAAAGAGCATTTCTTGGGCTTTTAGGTTTCTCGTAATCATGACAGTTGCGACCTACACGGCCGCCGATAGAGGGCGTTATTCGATATTATAACCAAAATATTGGATTTTCTCAAAAAATTTAAATGCGATGATATGACTTTTTTTAGACTAGAAAATAGACAAATGACCAACCAATAAGCCTGCGCAAACCGCATCTTAATATCTTTTTCCTAACTCAAATTATT